AAACACAGATATACAAAGCAAGCTACTTACAGGATAACAATCTATAGCAAGCCCGGCAGCCACACCCTGGCAAACCATCTTAGCAGATGGGCTAAACCAGGTTGAGAGTAACTAACAGGACTCAGCCTTGTCAGTGAGTTAGGGGGTGTCTGCCCCAAGCATGTGAAGACCTACCCCAGTGGAATTGGTGGATGAGAACAGTTTGTACCAGTGGCCATGAAGGTGGCTGAAGCAGGCTCTGTGGAGTGCTTAAAGAGATTGGAAAGGTAAGGGGGGCTAAGTTATAAAGGGCTTTGAATGCTAAACAGAGCATTTGTTTATTTGCTCCTGGGGGCAATAGGGAGCCACTGGAATTTATTGAGTAGGGGTAGGGAGGTGACATGGTCAGACCCACACTTTAGGAAAATCACTTTAAGTGGTTTAATGGAGGATGGATTGGACTGGGGAGAGACCTGAGGCAGACAGACCCACCAGCAGGTTGCCTGCCCCAGGGAGCAGCAGTGTCAGAGGAGAGAAGGGGGTTGTATTCCAGAGACGGTGCAAAGGTGAAATTCACAGGCCTTGGCAGCAGCTTGGATAAGGGGGATGAGAGAGAGGGAGGAATCCAGGCTGACGTTGAGGTTGTGAGCCTGGGGTACTGGGAGGATGGGGTTTTCCTCTATAATAATAGGGAAAATAGGAGAAAGGGGAGGGTTTGAATGGGAAGAAGATGAGTTCTGTTTTGAACATAAAAAGTTTAAGATACCCATCTCCCTTCAGGCAGCCCACTCCTCTTAGGGACAGTTCTAACTTTTGAAACCTTTCTTTACTTTTATTAGTCCTAAATCACCTTGTCTGTCAACTCTCCCCTTTGCAGCTACTAGTTGTGTCCTTTGGCGCCAGGCAGAAAAAGAGTCTTGTACCTCTTCCACAAGGCCATCCTTCTAGTATCTGAGGACAGCTGTCTTCTTCCACCTTCACCTCTACATCTTTTCTCTCTCTCTTTTTTCTTTTTAATTAATTTATTTTGAATTATCAACAATCATTTCCATAGGCTTTTGATTTTTAAAATTTTCTCCCCCTCCCTCCCCACCTCTCTTCCCAAGAAGGCATGCAATCTCATATAGGCTCTACATATACATTTCTATTAAACACATTTTCACATTAGTGAGGTTGTAAGGAAAAATTAGAACCAATAGGAGGAACCACCAGAAAGAGGAAACCAAACACAACAGAAGAAAAAAAAAAAGCAAATAGTATGCTTTAATCTGTATTCAAACTCCATAGTTCTTTCTTCGTATATGGATAGCATTTTCCATTATGAGGCCTTTGGAGATGTCTTAGATCCTTGTATTGCTGAGAAGGGTTAAGTCTATTAATATTAGTCGTTGCCCAACGTGGCTGTTACTGTGTACAATGTTCTTCTGGTTCTGCTCACTTCACTCAGCATCAGACCATACAAGTCTTTCCGGGTTTTTCTGAAGTCAGCCTGTTCATCATTTCTTATAGTGCAATAGTATTCCATTCCATTCATATACCACAACTTGTTCAGCCATTCCCCAATTGATGGGCATCCTCTCAATTTCTGATTCTTTGCCACCACAAAAAGAGCTGCTATGAATATTTTTGTACATGTGGGTCCTTTTCCCATTTGTATGATCTCTCTGGGATGCAGCCCTAGAGGTGCTATTGCTGGATCAAAGGGTATGCACATTTTTGTAGCCCTTTGGGCATAGTTCCAAATTGCTCTCCAGAATGGTGGGATCAGTTCACAACTCCACTAACAATACATTAGTGTTCCAATTTTCCCACATCTTTTCCAACATTTATCATTTTCCTGTTTTGTCGTGTTAGCCAATCTGATAGGTGTGATGTGGTACCTCAGAGTTGTTTTGATTTGCATTTCTCTAATCAATAGTGATTTAGAGCATTTTTTCATATGACTATAGACTCCACATCTTCTTTTATCCTTTCAAAACCGCTTCAGTTCCTTCGACTAATCATCATGAAACCATTTGTTTCCTAGTCCCCTTCCTTTCTGTTTGTCCCCAGTCCAATTCAAATTGTCCAGCATTTGTTAAACTCCTACTTTGTGCCAGGCACTGTGCTATCTGCATGGAGATTCAAAGGCAAAAAAGACAGTTCCAGTCATTAAGGAGGTCACAGTCTAATTAAATTTAACAATCATTTATTTTTTAAATTAGATTTTTTTTTATTAGCACATATTAACCTTGCCCCAACAGCCTACAGGCCAGGTAGGTCATGTTATCTGATACCCTTAAGGGAATTGTTTTGGAGGCAGGGTCAAGATTTTCTGCCAGTGGCTCCAGTCTTTACCAATGCAATTCCCCTCAAGTGTTAGGAGGGTGGTCCTCTGCACCTCAGTTTATTTGCCGCTAACCATCATAGTAGCTTACAGAGAAGTATTTACTTCATAGGTATAACCACAAATATAGAGATGTGTTCTCCCAACATATGGGAGGCATAATCTTTATCCCTTCTCTCCCCACTGCCAAGTCTTTGAGAATGAGGAAAGTGATTAAGGTCATAGCTTAGATGGGTTCCTATAGAACACAGTCCCAGGCACCCTGGCTTCTCAGGGCTTCCATGCCAGGTTGGCTGACTGCATCATCTCACCTGCAATTCTGGTTCCAAGGTCACCATGACTCAAGTACCTGGGCTCCATGGGGAATCACCTGTACCTGAAGCTAAGGACAAACAGAGAACAGAAACAAACACCCTCCCCCTCCCCCACACCCGGCCCATTTCTGGAAGCTGAGGTAGAGGAAGCAGGGGAAGAAAAGTCCTTCCCATCTCACTGGTTCAGGTCATGGCACCAGTGCTATAGGTGAACTGTGATCTTCACCCTCTGGTTGCAGCAGATAAAAGTGGCCTAAAAGAGAGCATCAGAAAGGAGAGCAACTGAGTCAGTGCCCCCAGTTTTAAAGGCACAGGCAGCCAATCAAAGGAGACTGTGCCCACCCATGTGGTTGGGGACACAGGCGGCTTCTATGTTAGGCATTCAGGACATGTTCCAAAGGCCCCTGAAGGGTGCCTCCCTTTGAGGTGAACTGAGCATGTCTAGACAAGACCAGATTATATAGATTTTTTTTCAATCAGCAAAAATACACTTTCTCACTCTTCCACACTAACCTCCTCTGTCCCCCAACTTAGAGCTAAAGAAAAAGAAAGTCCATCATGAACATGTATAGTCAACCAAAACCAATTTCCACATTGGTGATATCTAAAACAACATTTATCTTGCTGCTGCAGTCTGAATCACCTCTCTATCATGAGGTAAGCAGACTATTTCCTCAGTCCCCTATAACGACTGTTGATCATTACTCTGATAAGAGCTGCTAATTCTTTCGAAGTTGTTTATCTTTGCAATATACTTGTTTTGATTTTTTTTCTTTGGGGGGGTGCTAAGCAATGGGGTTAAGTGACTTGCCTAGGGTCACACAGTTAGTAAGTGTATGAGGCCGGATTTGAACTCAGGTCTTCCTGACTCCAGGGCCAGTGCTCTATCCACTATGCCACCTAGCTGCCCCTGCAATACACTTGTTATGTATAAATGGTTCTCGTTTTTCTGTTCATTTCACTCTGTGTTAGTTCATACATGTCTTCCCAGGTTTTTCTGTAACTACCTGGAGCAAATGGTGTCTAGGTAGAGGAGCAGTTAGAGCATTGGGTCTGGAGTCAGGAAGGGTCTGAGTACAAACCCAGTCTCAGATACTTACTAGCCTGTAATTCTGGGAAAATCAATTATCCTCAATATGCCTCAGTTTCCTGAACTGTAAAATGGGGACAATAAGACACCTACATTTCAGGGTTGTTGTGAAGATCAGAGTGAGATATTTGTGAGGTGCTTAGCACAGAGTAGGTGCTATATAAATGCTTATTCCCTTCCTCTCTTCCCCCATCTCCTCCATCATTTCTTATAGCACAATAGGGTTCTATCACACTCATATACAATAACTTGTTCGGCCAATTGATGAGCACCCCATCAGATTCCCATTCTTTACCATCTCAGAGAGGGCCACAAATATTCCTTAGAGTCTGGCTAAGAGCTAATCATCCCTTGTCTCTACTTTTCCTTTGGATAGATGTCTGACTGTAAGAATTTTCCCTAACCTTCCTTTCTCTCCCACAGCCCTTTGACTGAATCCAAAGTTCACAGAACAAATCCCCTTAAATAAAAGGATTTGTTCTGTAAAACTTGGACTCAGTTAAAAGGTGGCACCCAAGGACCTAGAAGGCCACACATGGCCTCCAGGCTGCAGGTTCCCCACCCCTGCTTTTAACTCTTCTAGCTCTAGACCTCAGCCACTTTTTTGGACACAGTTGTATACTTCCAAGATGGAGCTGCCAACCGACTCCATTCCCAACCATTGTTTAGAATCACACTTGGGGCTCTCTAATGCAGCCACGATGGTTGGTTGGTATAAGTTTAAGGAGTGTAAAGCCAGGGATAGCCAGGGATGCTGACCCCTGGAGAGGTGATGCTGGATTCACAAACCCCTGGAGTGTTCAGCATTGCCCTCTAGCTGGAGCTCTGCACATTGCTTGCTCAGCATTAATATTTTAGGGATATCTCTTACTTCTTAAGCTCCTGCTCCCCCTTGAGGAAGTCTCTTCAACAAGCAGCTGACACTAAACAAACTTGGTGTTACCTGGCTAAATTTGCTCTACTTCCGTCTATCTCCATGTGCTTGAGCCTTACTTACAGCACAGAGCAGTCACATCTGTCCCCGTGGAGGGACTGAGGGGGACAGAGGAAAAAGAGGAGGAGACACCCATCCTAGATCTGAGGTTAACCACCACATGGGTAAGGTCAAGGATACACTGAGATGTCCCTCCTGAGGCACCCTCCCTTTGTGGAGGGTGGTGCTGGCTTACAAATTGGGGGCACTCATTGAGGTCAAACAGGGTGCATTGTGCTTTGATTAAGATGGGTCAGGAAATCTCCTCAGGTTAAATAAGAGCATTTTATTTTATTAACTTTATTGCAATGTTGTCCATGCCTTAGAAGGAAAAATCAAAATGGCAGATAGTCACAGACAATGGTGTGGTATCTCTTGCCCATGAAACAATGTGCCTCACTCCACATCTTCTAATTTGATGGTCCAAACTTTGTTCTCTGAAAAATCTGTAGAGAGTTGGGGTAGGGTAATGATGAGGGGCTGATTTGTTGATATTTGTTGACAATTCAGGAGCTCTGGGAATCCTAACATTGTCACCTACAAAAAACGAAAGGAGGAAAGAGAAGAAAGGTCATGACAATTCTATGTAACCAGCTCAAAGATGAGGAAGTAGAGTGAGAAAGGATATTAAAAATTATCTGGTCCATTTTCCTTATCAGGACAAAAAAGGGGACTGAAGCTCAGAGGTCAAATTATTTGTCTGAGGCTTACAGCAAGTGGGTGGTTGATCCAAGAACTAAAGCCATCAGCACATAAAAGACTGGGCTAACTAAAAAGAATTTAAAGTGCTTTACTTATGTTCTATCATTTGACCCTTGGAGAAGGTGTTATTAATATCCTCATTTTATAGAGAAGGAAACTGAGGCTGAGAGAGGTTTAGTGACTTGCCCAGGGTCACACAGCTGGTAAATGTCCAAGGCAGATTCTCAAATTCAGATCTTTCTGACTCTCTTTCTAGATCTCAATCTATTTCACCACCTATGGATCTTGACAGTGATATACTAGAGGACAACAGATTTGTAGTCTAAAGACATTGTTTTGGCTCCATCACTTTCTAACTAGGTGATCTTGGCCAAGAGAGGAGGACTCCTCTTGATCTATAAAATGGGAGTAAAAATGCTTTTTCATAATTTGCAATGATAATTGTGTAATACCTCTCACTGGCTAAGCAAAAAGAAAGTTCTTTTTTGGGACATCATTTATTTTGTGTACATTTCATACATACTTAGTGCAGTATAGACATTGTCTCCCCCTACACAGTGTAAGTTCCTTGAAGGCAGGAATTCTTTTAAAAACCAGATTTTATTTTGTTTTATATTGCCTTCATTTCCCCTGTATTCCTTTTCTTCTCAGTCATCCCTTATAACAATTTTTTTAAAGTAAAAAGGAACAGTGTCAGCAAAACCACTCAGAATGTCAAAAAAAAAAAAGAGCTCTGTAAAGAAGTGGGGTTGGGTGTTTTCTCGTTTCTAGGAAGAAAGTTCTTGAGGCCAAAATTGCTAACAATGCCAACAGCTCTAGAACTAAATGACCAAATGACTCCTGCAAAGTCGTAGAAGAGGCCCGTCCATCCCAGGAAGCTGAGTCAATAAGGGAAATAGAAGAAACACCGAGGAAAGGAGCTCCAGAGCAGTAGTGTAAGACTCAAATAGAAAGGCTCCTGTACACTGCATCTTAACTTAGAAAACCACAAGTTAACATCAGGTGTACTGCGTTGTATTTTAAACATTTTGTTAAACACTCCCCAATTACATTTTCATCTGGTTTGGCCAGCACTTAGGAGTTTTGCTGGCAGCCCCATGACTTTGACATTTCTGCCCCAGAGGATTTTTGGACTTTATGAATACTTTCAGGGTGGGAAGGCTCTTTTCACAAACCAGTGCAGAGTGAAAGATTTCTTACCTTTGTGTTTTCTCTTGGCACAGGAGAGAGTAGCTCTAGCACTCCATCCTGTGGCCACGAGTTGAAGAAGGCATACACAGCAGAATCCTTGGCGGTGTACCTGCAGAAGATAAGTCACCACACACTCAGACAGCTAGAAAGGGGCCTTTACACATGAGAAGGGAGAGACCCACAGAGTATAAGGCACTAGCTCAGGGTCACCTGGGTCATAAATTTCAGGTGAGATCTCAACCTAGGGAGCCTTCTTACTCCAGAGGCACTGCTCTGTCCCCTGTTCCATAGAGATGAAGAGGGGCACTATTTCACAAAACAACTCAAGCATTTGAGGGGGGAAAGCCTGCTGAAAGCATGACAAAAGATCTACTTGGAACAAAAGCATTTGTAGATTAATTGTGAACAATAGGTGTGAGATGAAGGGAAAAAAAAGACTTGGGAGTCAGAAGATGTGGGTTCAAACCCCAGCTCTGTGACTTCCTAGATGACCTTTATTCCTGAGCCTCAGTTTCTTTGTTTGAAAAATGGAGATTCCATTTTTTTTTTTTGCTACCCATCATGTAGAAGGACAACATATCTAAAAGCACGGTGTAAATGTCAGAGACCATCGTCATCTTTCCAACTCTACTCCTATCTCATCCTTCTTGGCCTTTGACTTGAAGACCTATCTACTCATGGGAAAAGATTAGCTAAAAGCAAGCAAGAGTCCTGGACCAAAGGCAGAAAATTAGTGCAACTTATCTAGTCTACTGGCCTCAGGGAGGAAATGAAGAGGGACCTCCACTCTGAGGTCCCATGGCAACCCTCAGAGAGGGCTGAGAAAAGCTCTGTAGGGACCATCAAGGGTTCACAATTTCCCTCCTGACCTAAAGATCTGACCATGGTCCCCAAAGATCGAATGTAACTGGAAGCGATGAAGGTCATGGAACTTTTAGTTGAGACCCTGGAGATTTTTTAATCCAGCCGCCCTCCTCCTCCTCCTTCTCTTCACAGAGTTAGTGGCAAAGCTGAGCTCAAAAACCCAGATCTTCTGATTTCCAGTCTTGTGTACTCTCCCCCAATCATCCTGCCTTTGAGCCATTTCCCCCCCTGTCATATCTAAGACTAGAGCCACTAGCTAGGGTTGTCACTCACCCAGAACAAATTCTATCAAGGTTTTCAGGGGCTCTGAACCTGGGTTTCAGGATCTATTGCAAAGGGTGCGTGAACTTGGGAGGAATAAAATGTGTGCTTATTACGATCTAATTGTTATCTTGCGTAATCCTTAATATTTTAATTTATGCATTTAACTGTTATTCTTAGAAGGGGTCCATAGGGTTCACTGGTTGGCCAAAGGACTCCACAGCAGGAAGAAGACTAAGAAACCCTGAGTCAACCCAAGATGCCAGGATTTGCTGAATCCTTTGAGTCTATGAACGGAAGAGTTCGAACCTGAGAGAAATCAGGAAGCTTCTGAAGATTGCTGGGCTCAGCATGGAGGGGAGCTCAGGGTGGCTCTGCTGGACATGGTGTATATACTAAGTCACATTTAGATACAAGAAATATCCTCACCTGGGAGGGGAAAATAGATCTAGTGACCCCCAAATGCAGAGGCAACTTACCTTATGGTGGGGGTGGTGTTCTCCATTTGCACCCTCCATGGCTTAGAAGCATAGATCCCCTCCCCATTGATCCTTAGCCAGCTCCCCACAGAACGGAGCCTTTCTTGGAAGATGGGAGGAATGATCCCATCTTTTGTTGGCCCAATGTTGAGCAGGTAGTTGCCTCCAAAGCTCACGACTTCAATTAATTCCTGGAAAGAAGAAAGAAAGAAATAATGAAATGCGCTCACCTATTAAACAGCAGTGACGGATACATTGCTTAGAAATTCATAAATGTTTAAGAAAAAAAAACCCACACAACCTTGGGCACATTCTGTTTCTTAGGCCCTTAGAGGTCATGGAGGTCAGAATCATATAACAAAGAGGGCTGTTTAGAATAAAAAATTTCAAGGGGCAGCTAGGTGGTGCAGTGGATAGAGCACTGACCCTGGTGTCAGAAGGACCTGAGTTCAAATCCAGCCTCATACCAGACACTTGACACTTACTAGATGTGTGACCCTGGGCAAGTCACTTAACCTCAATTGCCTAAAAACAAAAAAAAAATTCAGATCTAGAAGGGTCCTTTGAACCCACTATCCCAGATCTAGAAGTATCTTTAGAACATAGGCATTCAGAGCTAGGAGTGACCTCACAATTTCTGATTAGGAAGGAACCTCAATCAGATCAATGAAGTATTTTTTAAACTATTATATTCTGGGTACTGTGATAGGTACTGGCAATAGAAGTAAATAAAAACAATGAAGTAGTAGATTGATATATACATCATAACCACAAAGGAAATGACTACAAATATATGCAGAGTAGCTTGGAAGGGAGGGTTCGGGAAAGGCTTCACAAAGAAAATGATGCCAGGTCTGGGAAGAAGATTGTTAGAACAGAAAATGTCAGAGCAGAATCCTTAGAACCCAGAATGTCAGAACTGGGAAAAAGACCCATAACACAGAATGTCATAGTTAGAAGAGACCTCAGAGATGAATTAGTCCAATCCCCTCATCATACAGATGGGAATATATGCTTTGGGAAGAGTTTATATCTAAGCCCAGAACCCAACTCTCAACTCCAACTGCCTTCCCATTACATCGTCCTTCTTTCCTTTTTGGTTCAAAAGACCAAAGCCAAAGCATTTCTTACCTCAATAATTTCTGCATAAGACATGACGTCAGTGATTTGCATATCTCGTCGATACCCCCAGGATTTTTTATCGAGGGTGGTGCACATCTCCCACTTGTGTTTTGGAAGACTCTTTGGTTTGTACTTGTCATAACAGGTGAGGTAGCCCCCATGTTTACAAGGATTGTCCTTGCCCCATCGATCATTAACCACAATTTGGTCCTAAATAATGAAGAATGGAAGAGCTGAGTCACCATGGATGGAGCCCCATGGATTCCCGTGGCTACAGAATCTAGCTGTAAAAGCAAATCTACTTGGTTTTCTTAGCTGATTTTGCAGTTCAAGAATGTATTCTGCTAAGTAAAGCTAAACAAGCCCTATTCCTTCCCTGGTCCTCACATGAAAAGGTTGCCCAGCCCTTCACCATCCTAGCTATGTTTCTATTCCTACACTCTTCTAATGTATCCTAGTCCTTCTTAAGCTGAGACTCCCAGAGTTGAACATAACACCTCCAAGTGAGGTCTGAAGAAGACCATGCAGCAGGAATATCATCTCCCTATTCCTGGAAGCTCAGGCCCTCTTAATGCTGCCCAAGATTCCAATAGCTTTTTTGTTTTTTCCTTTTTGCTCTCACATCATATTGCTATTGCTGACTTGTGTGAAACTACAGTCCACTGAAATCCCCTTTTTATGACAATTATCTGTCCATCCCTCCTCTCCCCCACTCCCCATCTTACACTTGTAAAGATGACATTTTGTACCCAAGTGAAGACTTAATATTCATCCATATTCATTTCATCCTGTGAGATTCAGCCCAGGGCTCTAGTCTTATCAAGATCCTCTTGGATCTAGTCATCTGGTCATGGTAGCTCTTTTTCTTAGCTTTTCTTCTAGAAAGATTGGGACCCATCCTGTGCACGGATCATGTACTATCTTGTATTATATAGTTGTGTGCTTGTGATTTATTTCCTCTACTAGACTGTCTTATCAATACAGTGTGCATATAGTAGGCATTGCATTAAACACTGGCTGAAATGAAATTTATTTTACTAGGCTTTGGCACATTCAGTGATCCTGCCCCAGACCTAAAGACCTGTTCTTGATGTCACCTAAGACTCTATGCTAGGGAACAATTCTTTTCGACATCTGCCAGGAACAATGTGACTGTACAGGAATTTACTCTTCTTCCAGTCCCACAAAACATCCCCATGGCAGCATGCTGCATTCTGCATTCTTGGAAAGCTTCTTTATTTCCCCATCCAGAATACCCTTCTCTCCTGACCACTCATGGAGGGGAAGGAAGGATACGGTTAGTTCCAGGCCCTGGCTCACTCCACCTTCTACAGTCACAACCAGTCCTTCAATCACCTACCTTTACAGGGCTGTCATTGTACAGCCAGGCGAGGAACTCGGTGGAATTCCAGTAAGTGTCAGGGGCTTCCCATTCTCCATCAGACCAGATCAGGTCAGGTTTGTACCTGAAAGACACATGGAAGGGGGACATGCTGGAGGAGTCTTTACCATCTAGAACATCAGTGGTTCTAGGTGACCTAGCAGTGGACCAGAAGTCAAGAGACCCAGGATCCAGGCCTGACTCAAGCACTTATGAAGAACCATATGACCTCAGGCAAGGAATTTCACTGTTTGAGCCTTACTATCCTCATCTGTGACTGTTCTCCTTCCTTCACAGGGTTGCTAAGTATTTTGATTACTCTTTTATTCTGATTTTTTTTGTCTAGGCAATGGGGTTAAGTGACTTGCCCAGGGTCATATAGCTAGTAAGTGTCAAGTGTCTGAGGCTGGATTTGAACTCAGGTCCTCCTGACTCTAGGGCCAGTGCCCTATCCACTGTGCCACCTAGCTGCCCCCCCCATACTTTGTGGAGAGGCAACATGGAACAGTGGTCAGAGGGCTACGTTGGAGTCAGGAGGACCTGGGTTCAAGTTCTGCCCCTGAATCATACTGGTTATGTTGACCTGGTAAGCTGCTTTATCTCTGAGTGCCCTCAGACACTCTACGAAGATGCTGTCTGCCTTGGAAAGTAAGCTGTTTACTGGGAGATCCCTACACCAAGGGAGTGACATACTTGGCAAGAAAAAGGAGGTTTTGAAGCCATAGAATACTATTCCTAACCAATTCCCAGGGCAGCATTAGCAGGTTTACTCAGTCTAACCCTTAAAGAAATTATTGGTCCCTTGGAGATATAGGAGGAACTTGACCTTACCCCTTAATAAGGCTGCACTCAGCTCAGTGGAATGACTATCCCCTAAGAGGATATTTTACAAGCAACAAAAAATTTTGCTTGCACCTGCTGTTTTTCTAACCCTTTAAGGTTATAAAGTCCCATGAGATGGGAATTGTAATATAAATGTACCAACCCAGTCTTAGAGAGGATGACAACGGAAGATCAGAGAGGTTCTCACCTGTTCACAAGATCAACCATTTCTGGCAAGACCTTGGTCTTGACAAAATTCTGGGTCGTGAAGTTGTTTTTCTTGTCAAGCAGATAGAAGGGATGAAACCACTCCAGGAGTGAGTGGTATAGTCCATAACGGATATTCCTAAAAGGATTAAACAGAAAATAAAATTCAGTTTTTTGCAGTGCAGAGATATTTGCTTTGATGGGTTTCACAGGACGGATTCTTTTCATCAGCAACAAATATTTATTATAGGATTTACTTCAAGGGTTGCCTTGAATTATGAAGGAGAAGTGGCTTAAAGGATATCAGAGAAATAGAGTTTAAAACTAGATGCAATGACCATGTGTAAATCCCAGGAATAATCAATAAACAGACCATGTGCTCTACTATTATCCTGTTAAAGGGGATGGACCTTTCAAGAGGAAGACCTCTAGCACATTGGGTAGATGCCCTCTGGCAAAGGTCAACTGCAGAGGATGTGCTGAGAGCTCCATCCTTGGAGGGATGTCATTAGAGAATACTATTAAAAGCAGTATTTACCCAAAAGGTATGAGCATCCTGTGCTATGGAGATGGACAGTAAACTGGGACAGCAAATTGAATATATCACATGGTTTTTCATGTTTTTTTTCTTTTTTTTCCAACCTGTGCAACCATGTATAGCTTTTTCCTAAGGACTGTAACCCCCTACCTTCATCCCAACCTTTCCTTTCTTCCTAGTTGGTGCCCTCATGTCAGTGTTTTCTAGGTTAAGAGAATGCTTCTACTCCTTCATTTACAAATGACTTCCAGGAAGAGAGATACCACCCTAGAGAATGTTCTACAGATGGTCCTTGTTCTTCAGAAGTTTAAAGAGCTCAGGTGTTTGGATCCTCCCCACCCCACCTTTTCAGGGGAGAATTCCAAGAGGTGAAAGCTATTTTCATAATGATATAGCTTTTTTTTTTTTTTGGCTAGGAGATGGGGTTAAGTGACTTGCCCAGGGTCATGCAGCTAGTAAGTGTTTTTATGTGTCAGAGGCTGGATTTAAACTCAGGTCCTCCTGAATCCTGGGCCAGGGCTCTAACCCCTGCTCCACCTAGCTGCCCTTATAGTAACTATTGATAGAAATAACCAACATAAACAAAAACTGTTAAGATTGTAAGTCCTGAGACCAAAAAGTTTGAGAACCACTGATATCCTTATCCAAATCTAAGCTGAGAGTCTCTAATGTTAGGGGGTCTGGGCAGCTAGTACTTAAACTCAGAAGAAGGAAGCTCTGGTGTTTGAATTCACTTGCTCCACCCTCTTCAACTCTAATTTGTGATCTTACTTTAGCAAAGAGAGAACAGACCAGAGCTCAGGAGAAAGGGGATGAGGATGAAGGATTGTCCTAAACTTGGTGGGTATATTGGGGCAAAATCTAGGGAGGAACACAGTGATGGAGGAGCATGTGGTAGAGAATTGCCAATCAGAAATTGGAGACTGAGGGGAACTCTTCAAGCACCATCCAGTCCAATCCATCCATGAAAGGAATCCTCACTATTATACAGCTAACCAGTCATTTAACTTCTGCTGGAAGATCTGAGGAGAGGTCACCCACCCTGTGGAAGGCAGCCCATTCTATCCAGTAACTATCTTGGCCACCCATTTATACTGCTCATGCCTGCTGAGCTTCCAGTCCACGAAACCCACAGATCTTTTTCAGAACTATTGTTCTGAACCAAGCCTCAAAACACTTCCTGAACAGTAGGACTGGAGAAGCCCCCAGGTCAGGAGATTCTTTCCTCGGCTGACACAGACATTGTGGCCCATTCTGGGCAGCTTCTATTCACCAGCCAAATGCCACATGTAGCCTGGTCATCTTTGACTTAAACCTCAAACAGGCAGGGCCTGGACAATATAATGCTCGATGACAATGAGACCATTCTGCAGATTACTCTTAGTTATTGGGGAAAGCCAAGAGGAGATTGTGAAGTGACTGAATGCCAATAAAGGGGAGTCCAGGGTTAATAAAAAACCAAACACACTTACTTCTCTCGGAGGAAAAGTCCCAATTCACCCACCAGATCTCGGTGTGGCCCTATATCCATAGAATTCCAGTTCCAAGATGTAGGACTGGGCCAGAGTGTATAGCCCTCATGATGCTTGCTGGTCAGGACCACATACCTGTGGAAATCAAAGCCACATAGTCGATGCTTTCTTCCTGCTCAAATTCTCTTGCATTTGCTCATCTGTGTACATACTAGCTCAGTGAAATGTAAGCTCCTTAAGGGCTGTGAGCTGTTGCATTTTTGTCTTTGTATCCCCAGGGCCTGGCACATAGTAGGTGCTTAATAAATGCTTAATGAGTTAAATGGTCCCCAGCCTTTGTTTGAAGACCTCCAGGTAGGGGGAACCCAGTCTCTCCTGAGGCAGACAGTCCAGGCCACTTTTGGATGGCTCTAAGGTTTGGAAATTTTTCCTTTTATGAAGCCCAAACCTGCACCTCAACAATCCCTGCTTACAAAGTATTGTCCATCTCTATTTCTACTTTAATGAGGGTGGAAGTGGACCAGTAGCTTCCTTAAAGATTTCTAACAAATGGTGGCTTTGAAAGGAGCTGCTGGGGTTTGCTTGGGGGAGAAACATCTGGATAAAGGGAGGTTCTGGGGCTCTTCATATAGACAACTTCCCTTCTTTTCACATTTCAGCTTCTTTCTCTCCTCTTGCCTCACTGTGCTTTGAACATGAGCCTATGTTCTTAAAGGCAGAGCTGGCAGAGTCCAAGATATGGCTGGTCTTTCAAAGCTGCCTAGGCTTCAAATAGATCACAATGACAATTCTGTTAACCCAGAACCAGCCTAAAAGCTTACCATGAGAAGACTGGCCACTAGGTGATAACAGGAAGGAATGTAATCTACATGGGTGAAAGGGGATATTCACACCAAAGAAATCACAGGCCTTTCAAAATACTCAAAATTATCTTTGAGACTTAAGAATGTCTGATGGTCAAGGAGAAGGACCAGGGGACTGCTCCAGCCTTTAGATTTCATGATGGTATCCTAAGAAAGTAGCAATCCTAAACTCACTACTATTTGCAGTCTGGGAAAGGGGGAAGGGGGAAGCAGGGAGACAAAGTGGTGGTGGGGATTGAATTGAGCATTCACCAGCTCTTCCTTTTCCCCTTGGCCCATCAGGATTTATTAAGCACCTGTTGTGTGTCATGCACTGTGCTAAGCACTGGGGATACAAAGAAAGGCAAAAGACAGTCCCTGCCATTTAGGAGCTTACAGTCTTATGTGTGAATGGGATGTCCCAGTGAAGACTCCTCAGTGTAATTAAGGTTTGGGATAAGACTGAGTGGGATGAGGGGTCCCGTGAAAGCTTCTTAGAAGAATAAATAGAAATTGTATTGTGACTCAAGGCAGGCATAGCAGCCCGACAGGCCTAAGTTTCAATTTACTAGAAATCATCTGATTTATGGGAATCCAGCCCCAAATATCCCCCACCCCCTTATGCCATTGTTATCACAGTAGTTAAAGTTTGCCAACCCTGAAACCCTTGAAGCCCCACCCTGTGTCTTGTTGTATCTGTTGCTATATTTCAGTCACGATGACCTGGCTGCACAGCATAGCATCTAGCTTGACTGCACATTTTTAATTGCTTTGATATTATTTCAGCAAACTAAGGGGCTAAATACAGATATGTACATAGTTTCTTTTGTTTTGTTTTCTGTTTCTATAGATTGTGAGCCAAACATTGTCCAGTTGGTGGGAGGGGGCTTTGCCCATTAGGGCTATTTAATCTGGTTCTTCTGCTTCTGTAATCTGTCTCCCCTCATCAGAGCATACTGGTGGAGGGACACCCTATTCTCAAGAATAGTAAATAAATTAACTTTCTGTTTCTCCTTGAAAAGCCTCTAAGTGTGTGTGTTTTTTTTAAATTTGAGTGGCATCCCACACATGGGAGAGACCACATGGAAATAACTATGTACAACTATAGGCAGGATAAATTGGAGACAATCAGAGAGAAGGGGAAATCAGGATAATCAGGAAAGGCTACTCAGGTTACTCATGGGTCACATGATGGCCTTGGACTAGATAAGCCTCCAATGGCTCTCCCTTATGGCTCTCATGATTCTATAACTCAAAGACGGGGACGGCATCAACTTCTGCTACTGGAAGTCATTTGCCCCAAAAGAAAAAGCCCAGTTTTTCTTGTGTGTCTTTCTTGTGCAGAAGCGAAGCCCTCACCCTTCTTTGGTAAACGAACAAAGAAAGAACTGGGACAAGAAGGGGAAGTGAAGCAGGGTTAAGAAGGGGAGGTGTCCTGAGTGACCAAAAGAGAGAACTCTGGTGGGTGGGGAAGGGAAGAGAATCAAGGAGAGAAATGAAAGCAATAGTCTTAGTGAGGCTGATTTACAAAGCCCTTTAGGTTCTTTACCTAACTTGATCCTTAAAATACCCTATGAGGTTGGTATGCACTTGAAGTGTTACTTAATTTTTTTTCCTCATTAGTAAAACAAAGAGGTGTGTTGGGTAACCTCGAAGATTACCCAGGAATTGATCCCTTCCTTAGATCTAGGAAGAGAAATTTGAAGCTTGAGAGGTAGACTGCTCACACAGGGAGTCGGGAACCAAGATCCTCCAGCCCTGCTTATTCTGGGTAAAGTGATTTTTACTTTTTTAAATGACCCCAGGCTGTCTTCTAACTAGATCTTAGGTGAATAGTCAGAAGAAGGCGGGTGTAGAGAAAGGAGTGCCAAAGAATACTGAGGACTGGGGCAGCTAGGTGGCGCAATAGAGCTTCAGCCTTGGAGTCAGGAAGACTGGAGTTCAAATGTGACCTCAGACACTTGAAACTTACTAGCTGTGTGACCTTAGGCAAGTCACTTAACCCCAATTACCTCACCAAAAAGGAAAAGAAAAGAATATATTGGGGCAGCTAGGTGGTGCAGTGGATAAAGTATCGGCCCTGGAGTCAGGAGGACCTGAGTTCAAATCTGGTCTTAGACAAGTAATGCTTCCTAGCTGTGTGACTCTGCCCCAGTTGCCTCGCTTAAAAAAAAAAATACTGAGGACCAGCTTTGGAGTCTTAGCTGTTTCCTGGCCACGTCAAGGGCCTGTGGCTACTTTCCCTTCTCTAAGCTTCAGCTGCCTCATTTGTCAAACGGCAGCAATGATACTTCTCTCCCAGTACACAGGGGTGCAGTGGGGAAAAACCCCACTTTATGAATGTGAGCTCTCTTGTTTGATGCCTCAGAGGCAGATTTCCTTGGATTGTAGGATGAGTCAGTTCTCACCTCTGCCTTTACTTCTCTAGCTGGTTCCAGGATTTAGGGGCATATACCAGAACAGCAGAGCCTAGCCAGCCTGAGTGTCTTGTCAACTGTCCTGCTCTACCTGTACTCTCTACCACGGCCAGCTTCCCTCAAAGCTGGAGCACTAGAGACCCTGCCTACCCCATGTACTCCACAGAAAATCCACTGTTTCAGGATTCCAGAGATGAATTTACTCAGTTTTAGTAGGAGCTGCCTGAATTACACATCAGCTTTTCTATATCTGCATCTCTAGGGCAGAACCCAGAGCCCAGCAGTAGCAAAGAGAAGTTGAATAAATACTTGCTGATTCAAGGCAATAATGCATTTATTAAGCACCTACTACATGCCAGGCTAAGCTATAAGGGCTGGAGATACAACAAAAAAACAAAACCCCATTCCTATCTTAATGAGTTTACAATCTCATGGGGAAGACAAACACATGAACATACTAAAAAGATACATGGAGAACTCTTAAGGATCCTTAGGCCATTCACTAGCTAGTAATTGGACAGTTACTAGCTCTCTCACCTTGGGTTAATCCGACAATAAACATTTATTAAGTACCTATTATGTGCCAGGCACTGTGCCGAGTGCTAGGGATACAGAGACTGGGAAAGTTTCCTCCTCTTTAAGAGGTGGATAACAATAGAATAAAATCGAGACATTTGTAAAGCACCAGATAAATCTTAGCTATAATTTAAGTGCATCCAGAAAGTCAGGGGTGCAGTTCAAATTTGAACCCTGGGCAGGCGCGCCCTCCCCAGCCCTACCCTATCCACCCGAGGTGGGAGACCATATGGCTTCGTGGAGGGGTGCCAGGAGAATCCGGTTTTGAATTTGTTGACCAAGTCGCTTCACTTCTCTAAGTACGTTTTGTCATCTGCCTACCGGGATCAGGCTGATCCTAGCCTGGTCTTACCTGGCCCCGGACGCCTCGAAAAGGTCAGCCCACTCCTCGGGGTTGTAGAACTTGGCCTCGAACTGGGGACCCCACTCGGGGTAGGAGAAGTCAGGCGGGTAGTTCTGGCGCATGAAAGCTTCGAAAGCCGGGTCTTTTTCGCCTTTCCAGAAATACCAGAACCACTCGCTGGTCCAGGCCGGCACCGAGCACGCGCCCCAGTGCACGAACACGCCGAATTTGGCGTCGTCGAACCAGGAGGGCAGGGGCCGCGCGTCCAGGCTCTCCCAGTCCGGCGTGTAGCGCGCCAAGGCCGAGGTCGCCGGAAGGACCAGGGGCAGCAGCAGTTGCACGAGCTGGACAGTTCCCTCCATAGCTGAGATCGCTGAGTGAAGCAGGGGAGGCCAAGGTTGCCTCTTATCCACAGGTGCAGCTCAGCCCTCACCCGAGGAAAATGGGCAGGATTGGTCCCACCCTCCTAGGCGAGCACCAGAAGGCTCTGGGTGGTCCTGGAAGTGGCTGACTGGATGGACCCTCTGGAGATTAGGAGGATCAAGAGCCCAATGCTGATAGTGAGGCTGCCTCGCCTAGTCAGGTAGACTCGACTTCTTTCCGAGATTTTATCTCTTACTGGCTCTTACTAGCTGAGCTACGCCCATAGGCAAGCCATTGATCTCCGTGTCAGTTCCACAATTTGTAAAATGAGGCTTATATTAAATAACATCTATCCTTGGAGGATTGACTTCTGAAAAGCGCTTTGCACTATGAAATAAACGGCAGCTATTGTCATTATGCTGTGAGGCTGGGCAAACTAATTAACCTCTCTGGGCCTCTGTTTCCCCTTCTGTAAAAGAGAGGTAATAATAGGACCTATCTCCCAAGGCTGTTGTTAGGATTACATAAAATTATATTTGTTAAGCTCTTTCAAACCTTAAAGCACTATTTAAATACTAGCTGTAATAAGAATAACAACAACTAGTATTGTTTTACTATTGCTATTATTGTCTCGGAATCAGATGGAAAAGGGGGACACCAAGGAGAATTCAGTCAAAGCTGAAAGTCTGAAAGGGAAAAAGCAGAAACACTGAAATATAAAGGGGACCATGTGACCCATTTCCTGCCAGAGAGGTGGTGGACCCAGGATGCACATTCAGAGAGATTTTTTTGGACATAGCCAATGTCAGGGATCTGCTTTTTCTTGACTGTATATTAATTACAAGGGTTTTGCTTTTGTTTTTTCTTTCTTTCTTTCTTTTTCTTTCTTTTTTTTTGGGGGGTGAGGCAATTGGGGTTAAGTGACTTGCCCAAGGTCACACAGCTAGTACATGCAAGTGTTTGGTCTGAGGCTGGATTTGAACTCAGGTCCTCCTGACTTCAGGGCCAGTGCTCTATACACTGCACCACCAAGTTGCCCCCATTGTTTTTCTTTCTTTCTTTACCAATGGGAGAAGAGGTAGAAGGGGGACAAAACAGATATTTGTTCACTGAAGAAATTTAATTTAATTAAAAAAATATGAAATGGGGGAAAGCTTTCACATACGAATGGCAAGTCAAGCCCACAAATATCAGTGAAATGAATACTATATGCCAGACACTGTGCTGAGGGCTGATAATTCAAAGACACAAAAATAAGGCCTCTGGTCTGAAGGAACTCTAAGTCTGCTGGAGGAGACGATACACAGACAATCACGTACAAACAAGATATTCAGAAGAAACTGGAGATGAACAGATGGAAGACTTTGGAGAGGAGCAGGGAGACTGAGGCACAGGTAGGCCTCTTGAAGAAGATAGGATTCGAATGGAATCTTGTAGGAAGGAAAGCAGGAGCAAGGGGTGAGGAGGGAGTGCATTTTAGGTATGGGAGACAGCATGTGGGAAATTGCTGGTTTTCATTTCCACAAAAGTCAATCTAAGGGTTAGATGGAAGTTGAACGAAGGAAGCCATAAATTAGAAGAAGAAAACACTACTGGTGGGTAAATAGACTAACCTTGGAAAAACTGGTTCTGAGGTTAGGTATAGATTAACATCAAAAGGAGTGTTCTCAAATAAAAGCAAAAGCAGATTAGGGCCTGGGTCCATGGATGGGCCCATACCCCATCACCTGAATTATGGAAGAGAAGTTAAAGCTAGAAAAATCATACTGTTATAGTACATGCTTACTAACTGCCTACAGGTAATCTACATGAAAGCCCTAATTATAGAAATGTTTGGTCTATTAGGTTTAAATGAAGCTAAAGGTTCTGTTCTCAGGAGGCAAGGAAATGTAGTTTTTCATCCAGTTTTCTTCTGGAAATGCTTAAAAATTGACTATAAAAGAATATTGTTTGTTTCTACACAATCACTAGCTGCCTTACAACACTTGAGTGATTGTGGGGGCAATAGCAAATTTTGGGGTTAAAATTGCTTGAAAGGAATAGAAATTGCATTGTTACAGAATTAGAAAAAAATCATATTGATAATGGGTTGTTTCAAGTTTCAAATACATTATAATGTGTAAGGAATTGTTACATTCCTAAATTGTGCAATTTGATAAACAACTGTATCACCTATTATGTTAGAAAAGCTATCTCTCTTATAATCTAGATGTTGTTAGATGAAGAATTGTACTGTCAGAGAAAGACAAAAGAGCATGGGTTAAGAAGCTGTTAGGTCATTCTTATCTGATCATGTGTTGTAACATTTTGAAGTCCTGTAATTTAAAAATCATGAACTTCCAAGTTTTGTCTTTATTTAAAGGAAAGTTTCAGCTAAAATTATTTGGTTCTCACTTATGAAAGTTAAGATTGTTAACTAAGCTATTTGGAGTTATTGTTTAAATAAAGTATTTGTAGAAGTGTTTTTGTGAAAGGAAACTTGGTAATTGTGCAAAGAAAGGACTGTGTAAAATCCCCTTGTAATTAATTTAGTCTGTTATAATAACAGGATAAATTGTAAGCTGTTTTTAAGAAAAATATTTTCATGAAGAAAGAAATGTTTTGCAAAATCTTTTGTGTAATTTTTAGAGGGCCTACTAAATTTCTGTTTGTTAGCTAATTTTGTTGCAGTAATAGTTTGATATTGATGACAATTATGTCCAAATCTACTGTGAATTTCGAGTTTGTTTTCCTAGGTTTGTTGTGTCCTTGGGCTGGTCTTAAGGGGTGCTTTCTGAGAAACAGAGTCAGAATCAGCAGCTCAGTGGGAGCAGCATCAAAGGTGTTAATACTAAAGTAGTTACTGTAATGAGTTGTAAATGGGGAAGACCTTGCTGTTTTGATCTGAATTTATTTCATGGCCTAGCAAGGGTTACAATTAGTGTTTGAACTTCTCACATGTATAAGATTCAAACCCTGAAAGTGTCTCATTTTTTCAGATTAAGTGTGGTTAGAAGAGAAGCTTGAGAAATAGAGATGCAAATCTATTAGAGTAGCAATTTATGATCTTAATGGAAACTTGATTTTACTCAAAATGTTATTTAATGAGGAACTGCAACATGTGTAGAAATGCATGTAAACTACCTATGGCTTACTTTAGAGATGTTCCCTAACTAATGTGAGATTGTAGTCACATTTGAAACTCTGATGATGGGAATTTTCTATCCAAGAACTTAGGGGCTGTTAGTGAACTATTATTCTGAGTCTAACTCCATCAAGGAAGTGATTGAGCTACTGACCCATGATGCTAGCAACCCTGTGAGGGGTCTATGAGCTGCATTTATGAACTGCAGAGGGTGCTCTCATGGGAAGGTTGGGAGAACCGCTCTGCATGGGCTGGGGTAGAATTCTCCTGACTCAATTTCCCCACTATGACACCTGGCAGACTTTAAGCCTGGCTCAATGCAGTTGGCCATTATATGACTTCTGCCTGAAACTGACATAAAGTTAGGGAAGCATTGTTCCCTTACTTTGGTTATGTCTCTATTCTTTTGTGGCAAATTTCTATAACCATAAGTTTTATAAGCATGATATCAAATCTATTAAATAATAAATTGATACAGGAACATCTGAGGTTTTTATAGTAAGATGCAAGTATAAAATTGAGCTATTTGGCCTAGAATTTTAGAATTAAGTAATCAGCCTTAACATCTGTTACTAGTATATTCCTGTATAAGTCAGGGTCCTTTAATTCCCCATAGTGGTATGGGGATAATTAGGCCAAGGGCTTGTGAAACCAGTATATTATTCTGTTACTTAGTTAATATCAAAGTTGTCTCATTTTGTTACAATTAGTTAATGTTAAAAGAAGAATGGTTTGTGGTCTATCTTGTAAATGCCTTAAAAGAAGCATCTACTTTAATTAAGGGTTATTTATTTATACATGACCAGAAGTTGGAATTGTTTTATTACTTGACATGTACTGTTTTTAAATTGATTACTCAATATATTTATGTATGTATTGGAGTCTGTTATTAATTCCTTAGTGGAATCTCATCCTCCTGATTGAAGAATATGAATAAGAATAAGTAATGAATTAATACAAAATATTAAAAAACTGCAATTAATGCAATAAAACTAGAATTAATGCAAAGTGTACAACTAGGTTCTAATTTTCCTGTTACTTCTTTTCTATTTTGAGTTTCTTAAACATGGCAATCGGCCAAGGTTAGACATAAGAGTTGGATTAACTTTCATTATTTGACCTGGTTATTGGCAAGGTAATTTAAAATTGTGTTAAGATCAAAATTGTAGGAGAATGGACAGAAGAAAGAGGATCTCTACAAGAAGACAGTCTGCTGGACACTGCTTGAACAGCACTTAGAGCAGAAAACTTCACTGAATGATGTCCAGAACACCAGACAGCTGTATGAAAGGAGATTTCTGAAGCCTTAAATGGACAATTTATCATTACTCCTGGATCTCTGTATCTGTACTTACTAAGGTGACTGCCCCCTTTTGATTTGTCAATGCATCAATCAATTTCTTCTTCCTTTCTCCCATATTGTTATAAGTCCCCAAAACCCCTTGATGAAATGTTGCCCAACAACACAGCCCCAGAAGGAACCAATACAAAGGCATTGCAAGGTCTAACCACTTTAGCTGAAGAATTGGCAGAGAACTCTGGAATAGATAATTCATTAATGGGATGGTTAGAATCATGGTTTGGCAAGTGGAAGGGAATGGAAGTCTCTATCTTGATAGCTGAGGTATTGACAGCTGTAGGCTGTTGCATAATACCTTATGTAAGGGGGTTGGTCCTACTAGATGAAGAGATTGAGGCGAACCCTAATTATGATCAAAACTAGAATACATAATGAATTAAGATGCAGGTGCAACGAAGAGTAAATAAAAAGAGAAGGGAGGATGTAGAAAATACGGTTGGGGATGTTGCTTCTGCATCAGGGTGTGGACACCTATGTGATAGCATACTGGAGAGCATTGGAACCAGTTTAAACTGGGAAAGAATTTGAGAAATAGCTAGTTTTCATTTCCACAAAAGTCAATCTAAGGGTTACATGGAAGTAGAACAAAGGAAATGCTTTGTTATACTTTTCTTGGTATGCTACTGGAGTACATACCTTTACTAAAGTACTAAGTGAGTGTACTCACAGAATGTAAAACAGAAAGACACTGATGGGAGCCCTCAGAGGGTACAGACTTATAGTCCCCAACTTATCCTTCAGCTATTTTGTTTTTACTTAGTTGTCTCCTCCATTGAGCTGTCTGGTCCTCAAGAGCAGGGATGGTCTTTTGCCTCTGTCTGTATCTCCAACCCTGAGCTTATTGCCTGGCACATAATAGACACTTGATAAATGCATATTGGTTTGACTTAACTTTACTAGGCTGAAGGGTCTGCACCACGTGGTGCCCTGTATAAGTGAAAAAAAGGGGATTTACTGAAAATATGTTTAATAAGAATGCATATATATAGCCTATATCAGATTGTGGGAGGCTGGTGGGGAGGAAGGGGGAGAAAAATTTTGAACTCAAAAGCATATGGAAGTGATTGTTGATAAATCAAAATAAATTAATAAAAAAAAGGGGATTTATTCAGGAAATGTTGTGAAGGTAGAAATGACAAGACGACCACAGATTGGATATGTGTGGTGAGTGATGTATTGAGGAAGATCGGCCTGAGTGACTGGGAAGATGCTGGTGTCTCACAGCAATAGAGAAGTTGGAAGGATTTTTGGGGAAAGATAATGGGATCTCTTTGCAAGATTTTCAGTTAGAGATGTCTTCAGGGTGATCAGTTGCGGATATTTAATCAGCAGTTGTTCTAGTCAAGATGGAGGTCAGGAGAGTGGTTTGGCTTGGAAAAATGCTTCAGAGAATCATCTACATACAGATATCTACACAGAGACCAAGAGATCTGACAAGGACACCAAGAGAGACAGAATAGAAAGAGAAGAGAAGGGGACCTAGGACAGAACTTGGAACACATCCACAGTTAGGGGGATAAGCTGTACTACTATCCAGCAAAGGAGGCTGAGAAGAATTTTTAGACAGTTAAGAGGAGAAACAGAAGGGTGCATTTCCCTGAAAATTAGAGAGAGGAGAAAGTTTCCAGGCCAAAAGCTGCAGAGAGGTCAAGAAGGCTGAGGAATGAGAACAGGCCACTAGATTTGGCAATTAAGAGACCTTTGGTGAAATATGATATTCTGTAAGGCAAAGGAGCTTGGATTACAACCAAGGATCAGCTACCCAGCGAAAATGAGCATGATCTTTCAGGGGTGGAGATGGATATTCAATGAAGTAGGGGACTTCCAAACTTTCCTGATACAAAGACCAGATCTCAACAGAAAATTTGATCTTCAAATACAAGACTCAAGAGAGACATAAAAAGGTAAATGGGACAGAAAGAAATAACATGTTATTAATAAGGGCAAACTCTTTACATCCCTACAAGGGAAGATGACACTTGTAACTCTTGAGAACTGTATTGTTATTACACCATGCTAAAGGGTTATACATAAAGGGGGTGGGCATAAATTGACTTTGATGTAATGGAGAAAAAAATCTAATCAAGTGGGTTAAATGGATCCAAGTAAGTGAATTAACCTGATCTAACCAAGAGAAAAGAAAAGGAGAAGGCAGAGAAGGTAAATTACATCACAGGAAATGGCACAAAAACCTAGTACAGCAGAGGGAAAGAAGTGAGGGAGATGAGCATTGTTTGAACCTTACTCTCATCAGGTCTGTCTCAAGAAGGGAATAACATAATCAGTTAGGTTTAGAAATCTAACATGCCCTATAGGCAGTAGGAGGGAAAAGGGGAAAGAAAAGGGAGGGAGGATAGAAGGGAGGAAAGGAATAGTAAAGGTAAAGGGGAAGAAAAGGGAGGGGGCTAATAGAAAGGAGGTGGGACTGAGGGAGGCTGTAGTCAAAAGCAAAACATTAGTGAGGAGGGAAAAAGAGAAAGAAAAAAGAAAAGCATAAATGGGGGGAAGAATGGAGAGAAAGACAGAGAGTAATCATAACTGTGAATGTGATATATGAATGTAATGGAATACTATTGTGCTATAAGAAATGATGAGCAGGCAGACTTCAGAAAAACTTAGAAAGACTTGTATGGACTGATGCTCAGTGAAGTGAGCAGCACCAGGAGAACATTGTACACAGTAACAGCCACGTTGTGTGATGACTAATATTGATAGACTTAACCCTTCTCAACAATACAAGGATCTAAGACATCTCCAAAGGCCTCATGATGGAAAATGCTATCCACATCCAGAGAAAGAACTATGGAAGTTGAATACAGATTGAAGCATACTATTTGCTGTTTTTTTCTTCCGTTGTGTTTTGTTTCCTCTTTCTGGTGCTTCTTCCTGTTAGTTCTAATTCTTACTTACAAAATCACTAATGTGAAAATATGTTTAATAGGAATGTATACGTATAGCCTATATCAGATTGCGCGCTGACTTGGGGAGGGAGGTGGAGAAAAATTTAAAACTCAAAAGCTTATGGAAGTGATTGTTGATAAATCAAAGTAAATTAAGGAAACACACACACACACACACACACGCACACACACACACACACGAGATCATTGGTAGCTTTGGAAAGAGCAGTTTAATTTGACTGATGTGGTTGGAAACCAGAGAGCAGAAGATTTAAAATAGAGTGAGGGGACAGGAAGTGGAGACAGTGACTGTAGATGACTCTCTGTAGCAGTGGTAGCCATGAAAAGGAGGAGAGGCAGAGGAAGCTACCTAGCAGGGCTAGCAAGTTCAAGAGAGTTTTTTGTCTGCCTGTTTCTTAAGGATCTGGCATACCTGGATGTTCTTGTAGGCAGCGGGGAAGCAGCCAGCACAGGGGGTGAGAAAAGAGATTCTTAAAACTTTAGATAAAACAATAGAAAGAGTTCAGATGCTCCCTCCCTCTCACAAACAATTATTAAGTACTTACCATGACTGTGGAAAGACTGGGAATGCAAAGAAAGTAAAAAACAGACCTTTTCCTTGAGAAGATCACACTTATTGGAGGAGACAACTAACAGACATCTATATACATACAAGCTAGTGTTGATGGAAGTGATCTGAGAGGGAAAATAGGAGCAGTAGAGACTGAGGCTGGGAAATGAGAATGCTAGAGAGGGCAGAGTACTGTAGAAAATGGAATGGGATGGAATCAGGTCCAGATAGTGAGAGTGGCTTGTCTGCCAGAGTTCTGTACCAACTTACCAGTGGCCAAGGGTATTGCTTCACCCAGTCCAGCAACAGCAAAGCCTGGTAGCGGGAGCCAGCCCAGCCCTCAAGTGTTCTGTTCCAGAGTGGACTCTCCTGAATTCTCTAGTAATAGGTACATCAACGCCCTGCAGGTCTGGGTCTAAGAGGTAGCTTGGCCATGGGCAACTGTGCAGGAGCCTCATGCCCATTGTAGTTTACAGTGGACCCCAGTCTTCTCCCTGTGCCCCATCTTCTTGCACTGTCGTTGTCTGGAGGAGAGATTACTCCTTGATGTTGGGGAAAATGTTTTGTTTGTGCTGTTCTGGATATGTTATTTGAGTAAATATTTGCTAAAGTACTGAGTGTACACGCAGAATTTGAAAGGGAAACACACTGTTGGGAACCCTTGAGCTGCTGTGAGGGATATAGTCACCCACTGGGTTACTCCTAGAATCCTGCTGCTCTAGGAGTGCAACCTGACAGTGGCAACGTGAGACTGGCAAATGAGGAGGTGTGTGTTACACAATTGTTTAGCAGGCACAAAATGAGCACCTATTCAGGAAAGACCTTGCTGAAGAGTGAAACTTCAGTGGGAAAAATCCCTACGTGGAAGGGATAATGGTCATGGGTCTAGTCACTATCACTATCCCCACGTGCTAGGATCTGGGAATTCAGTGTCAATTTCCTCACCTGTGTTAGAAATAGGCTTGACACCAAAAATTTAGTATCAAGAAAATTTATTACAAAGAAAGTCCAGAGGATTTAGACGTTTCTGGCCAGAAGCGGGCTCCACCCCTCTTCAGGAAGGGTGGGCCCTGAGTGCAAGGGAAAGTGTGCTTTTATGCCGTTGAATTGGGCACGAAACCTCCCAGGCCTGGATTGGTCCAACCCTTCCCAGGTTACACCTTTCCTTACATGTTTCCCCTTGATATGCTCAAGTATGTTCCCCTCCCTTGGTCATACGTCCCATGACTCGTTAATGAGGCTCTAATTTTATGCGGGGTGTGTCAGATAATAGTAATGGAGTTCATTAAGCAGGCGTACTAACATTTTTCAGGTGTCCTCAGGTTGACCCTAACTGGTCTGAGCTGACTCGACCCTTGCCTTGATTTTGGGGTCTTTTTGGAACCATCAGCTTACTTTTTATTGGCTAAAACGGAGCCCACCTACAGTGTACTACTTCCTGGAGCTGTTCTTTAAATCTCTGCATCATTCTACCTGTGGAAATGTAAGCCCATCTAACTCTAACACCTGTAAAACTGAGCTAAATATAGCACTTGCCTCATAAAGTTGTTTTTATGAAATTATGGATACATTAAAATGTCAAAGAAATGTTAGCTATTATCATTATGCTGTGTGACCCTGGGTGAGTCACTTTTCTTGCCTTCATTTTCCTTATCTCTCAAATGATGGTGGTTTTTGTTTGTTTGTTTTGTGGGGGGAACTATTCAAAGACCTCAAAAATCCCTTCCTGCTCTGAATCTATGCTCCCAGCAGGAACCATTTTCCAGATGCCAACATCACCTGAGTGATCCTTCTCAGCAGGAAACTACCAGAACCACCATTTTCTAACCTGGCCTGGGCTGCTGCTACTGCCCATTCCTGCAACCCACTGCAGAAAATGTGGTTGGGGATGTTGCTTTTGCATCTCACTCATCAGGGTGTGGAAACCTGGGTGACAGCACACATGAGAGCATTGGAGTCAGTTTAAATTGGGTTTGAGGTCCAACATATCAGCTTACAGCTAGGGGGAACTATGACCAAATAAGGTATAAAGAATTGTGGGTAGTGGGAGATGTAATTAGGGGCAGAGGCTCACGTGGGGAAATTAGGCACTTTGGAAGGGCTGTAACCTCTATACTACCCAGCCAAAGGGGAAACAGGGGAGGGAAATTCGAACTGGGAATAAGGAATAAAAAGCTGTATGTCTGTCTGACATGTGTGGAATACCCGGCCTTCCCAAGCCATTAATAAAGTTTCTTTCTGGTTCAAACAATGGCTTCATGGAATTCATGGTAAGACTTTTTGCTGCTAACACCCCCCACGCTCTGCCCCTTAACTCCCAGCTCCCAGAATGGTCAGGCCTCCAGGATTTATTGACTCTTCTCTTCGGGGTTTCCCAAGATCAGGGCATATTGTAAACTCCTCTCCACCCCTGGCCTGGGGAAATTGAAAGAGACTAGGTATCTGGAAATCAAATATATAAGAGCACCAGGGACACTTAAGCCAAAGTTTGGGGGAGAATCAGGTCTAGGAAGACTGGACAGGTAGGAAGAAAGCAGCTTGTGGGGGGCTTCCAATCCCAATTGGCAGATTTTTTAATTTGATTCTGGAGTTAATAGGAGACTGAATAGGGAGGGTCACATGGTTAGATAATGTGATCTGTTCTTTGTTCTTGAATGGGACCATGACATCAGGAAGATGATGACATGACTTGAAATTGAATTGGATTTGAGTGAGGGAGGGTTGTGTAACGTTACCAGCCTCACTTTCTCCTCCAGAGCCATCTGGGTCCAGTGGCCAGATACATAGATCAGGACCACTGAAGATGGCCCAGGATGCAGTGCGAGACCTTGACCTTTTTAAGGTAAGGTCTTTCTGATTTCTCATTTTGAGTGAGGCAAGCCCATTCAATGATTAGGCCAGTTTTCAAAAATGAGTCAAGGCATGGCCCCTTTAATAGTTAAAAAAAAAATCAAACTGGGAGGGGAAGACCTCAGAGCTGTTGGCTGAAAAACAACTACTATTTACATTCACTCTGAGCCTTGAGGGCCCCAAAAAATAACCATTTAGTGGTGCTTGGTCAGTGACCTATTATTTGCCAAGCAATGAGAGCCAGAGGGATGGTCTTTTTTTAAAAAATGTATTTATTTTTAGTTTTCAATAAACACTTCCATAAGCTTTTGATTTTTAAATTTTCTCCCTCTCCTTCCCCACCTTCCTCCCTAAAATGGTGTTCAATCTGACGTAAGCTCTACATAGACATTCCTATTAAATATATTTTCACATTAATCATGTTGTAAAGAATAATTAGAACCAATAGGAGGAACCACAAGAAAGAAGAAACAAAACAAAACAGAAGAAAAAAAAAAGAACAAATAGTTTGCTTTGATCTGTATTCAAACTCCATAGTTCTTTTCTTTGGATGTGGATAGCATTTTCCATTATGAGGCCTTTGGAGATGTCTTAGATCCTTGTATTGCTGAGAAGGGTTAAGTTTATCAATATTAGTCATTGCACAATGTGGCTGTTATTATGTACAATGTTCTCTTGGTTCTGTTCACTTCACTCAGCATCAGTCCATACAAGTCTTTCTAGGTTTTTCTGAAGTCTGCCTGCTCATCATTTCTTATAGCACAAAAATATTTCATTACATTCACATACCACAATTTGTTCAGCCATTCCCCAATTGATGGGCAGCCTCTCAGTTTCCAATTCTTTGCCACCACAAAAAGAGCTGCTATAAATATTTTTGTACACATGAGTCCTTTTCCCATTTTTATGATCTCTTTGGGATACAGCCCTAGAAGTAAGGCATGATCTTTAAGAAAGAAATCTAGCCAGTAAACCCCAAAATCAGTGGGTGGGTTTCAGCCATCAAAATTTACCTTCCTTTGGACAGAACATTCTCAAGTAAGGGCATGATACCCCATATGGGAAGAGGAGAAGGGAGGAGAGGGAAGAGGAGAGGAGAAAGCCTGGGATCACACAGCTAGTAAAGTGTCTGAGGCTTAATTTGAACTCAGGTCTTCCTGACTCCAGGTCCAGCCCTCCATCTACTGTGCCACCTAGTCATGACCACAGAGGGACCAAGGGTCCCCTGACTCCCTGGTCCAGCACTCTAGTCACTACTGTCTCCTTACTGATTGTCTGTCCCTGGAGAGGTACGTTTGCCTGGGTACTACCTACCCTCTACCCCCAAATCCATACCCATTTCCAGGAGACAGACAGAAGGATACACACACACACACACACACACACACACACACACACACACACACACATACATTGTAAGTAAACTAAATTCAGGCAGCCTATGAGTGACTTTTCCTCTGTGAAATTGCTCCATCTGGCTATCACCCTTTGAACCTATTCTACAGTGATCCCTGAATGGCCTGGAACATAGGTCTTGGTAATTTACTTTCCTTGGGTACAGTATTAAGAGAACATCCAGAAAAAAATTCCCTGCTGATCCACTTTGGGGATATTTTTGTGCTGTTGGTTTCAGTATTTTTTAAAGATGTCATTTTGGACCAATGGAAGTGGTTTTACTCTATTTAAGCCAATAAAATGTTCCATTTGCCTAATTTGTGGTTAAATCACACATGATGTGTGACACTTACTTCCATCTGTGATGATTTTCTTTTTCATCCCCCTCCCCTTCAATATTTATGGTTGTTTTAGGCATCAGTTACATTTTTGTTGTACTGTATTTCCTTCTCCTAGGCACCTCCAATGCCTTCCTTAGGTGTTAGAATTGTGCTTTAAAAAAAAAAAAGGTTTCTATAGTGGAAACATTTGACACAGAGTGGAAAGAGTGCCAAGTTAGCCTATGAAGATATGTTCCTGTGGAACTTTTCTTTAGCTATTTAATTATCTTTGCTTTTTTCCTTTCCCTCTTTTTCACACCTTTTTGTTCAAATGCACGCAAAGTCAACAATCCTTTGAGAAGTTGTCTTTGCAGTACAGCCAGCCAGCCAGTCGGCCATGCCTGGAACTCTTTCCTCCTGTTCTCCAACTTCTGACCTCCCTTGTTTCCTATTTACTTTCCTATTTATCCTATATGTAACTTGCTTGGTATATATTTGTTTGTATGTTGTCTCCCTCATTAGATTGTAAGCTCCTTGAAGGCAGAGACTGCGTTTTGCCTCTTTTTGTATCCCCAGCACCTAGCACAGGGCCTGGCTCAAAGTAAGTTTAATTGATTGATTACTTATAAATAAATATTATTTCTTGATAGTTTTCTTTCTCCTCTCTCTCTCTCTCTCTCTCTCTCTCTCTCTCTCTCTCTCTCTCTCTCTCTCTCTCTTTTTGGCTAGGCAATGGGGTTAAGTGACCTGCCCAGGGTCACACAAGCTAGTAAGTGTTATGTGTCTGAGACCGGTTTTAAACTCAGGTCCTCCTGAATCCAGGGCCAGTGCTCTATCCACTGCATCACCTAGCTGCCCCCTCTTTCTTCTCTTAATAGGAAAGAAAAAAAATTCACTTGCAAGTTAGATAACAAACCCTTCCAATTG